CAACAAACCATTGGGACAATATGTTACTTACTCTCAGGACTAAATATATGATTTCTGGTTACAAAATTAAAGATGCCGTTTATGTTTGTTTGTTGTTTTTTATATTGATTGGACAGAGCGTTAGATATCTCGTTTACAGAGACATATCAGACTTATCTTTTAAACAATTTTTATGATTGTATGAGAGAGACATGTACATCGGTCAACCCATTTCTTAAATGATTTTTGAAATGAAATAAAACAATCTATGTTAACGAAGCGACGTATAAGTAGTATCCCATGTTTGGTATTGTTTCTATGTGTTATTTAAATTTTATTTGACTAGATTTGGTTGCTCAACAGTTACCTGTGATTTACAAAGAGCACAGTTGGCGCTGAGCATGTTTGAGACACTTACGAGGTATGATTAAAAAGTTCTCGGCCCGATATACTTCTAGCCACTACAGTGATATTTTAACACGATACGTTGAAGATTACTGACCGAGTTACATGCGGTTTTACACAGATTAAGTGTGAAACACAAGGTTGAAATCAGAGACGTCATTAAGTGCCTCTGTAAGAAAGGGATGGCTCCCAAGGAAATGCATGAAGACTTGATTGGAAGAAGTCCCCTTCCTTTAGCACTGTGAAAAAATGGGCTGCTGAATTTAAGAGGAGCAGGGAAAGCATTGGAGATGGTGAGCGGCCTGTTCGCCCAAAAGAGGCCACCAACGATGAAACTACCGAGGCTGTGCACGATCTGGTCTTGGCGACAGAAGGTGAGACTGCGAAGCATTGCTAGGGAAGTGAGTATAAGCTTTGTGATTGGCAATTCTGACTGATGTCTATGGCATGTCAAAGGTTTCCCCTCGATGGGTCCCAAGACAGTTGACTGACGACCAGAAACGGACAAGGCATGACATTTCAAGATATCTTTTGACTCGCTACGAGGATGAACCTGATTTTATCTACCTGATCGTTACTCAGGATGAAACATGGATCCATCACTTCGATCCAGAATTAAAAAAACAGAGCATGCAGTGAAAGCACCCTGGCTCACCCCCTCTTGAGAAATTCAAGAGAGTGTCATCAGCAGGGAATATGATTGCTTCAATTTTTGGGATAGTCAGGGGAAAGTCATGATTGACTATCTTGAGCAAGATGGTACCATAAATGGTACTTACTATGCAGACGAAATGAGACGTGTGCGTCAAGAAATCGCGCATAAAAGGAGGGGCGCGTTTTGCTCCTGCACGACAATGCGCCAGTTCACACATCCAGAGTTGCAATGGCTGCTGAAACTGACTGCGGCTTTGAAATTCTTCCCCACCCCCAATATTATCCGGACTTGGCCCCCTCTGACTTCTACTTGTTTCCAAAATGAAAACCAAGCTTCGTGGTAGACGTTTTAGAAGCAATGAAGGTGTCATGGAGGCGGTCAATAAGTTCTTTGTGGACCAAAGTAGAGAATTTTATTTTGAAGTGTTAAACAAGTTGGAGCACAGGTGGGTAAAGTGCTTTGGAGTAGAGGGTGATTATATTGAAAAGTAAGACCATTAAGTGGGTTCTCTGACTACCGGAAGTACATCGGGCCAAGAACTTTTTGATCAATCCTCGAAGTTCCTCTTAATTTACCATGGCTGTTCTAGAGTTACTAAAACGGTGATAAAATACGTGTTTATAAACAACTCTTTTAAATGATAGGATAAAAAATAATCAGGAAATTGATTTTTGTCAACATTATCTTTTAAACCTTGTATTTGTTTATTTTCTTTTAGTCGTAATTTGGTATGAGTCGTTCTGACAACCGTGTACATTTCATATTTTACTTACTGAGATAGTGAATTTTTCATCGCTCAAGGTGTGAACAATTTTTTTTAAATATATTTGAAAGGGTCTCCATTGTGTTTTTTTGTCCTGACAAGACTGGAATAAATGTACTATTTGACGTAGGTCTAAACTAATAACTTGTGTGCAAAATTTCATATCATTTACTCATTCCGTTTCTTCCAGAATCATGATTCTAATTGTGAAAAATGACCTAAATCGGGCTAAGAATAGCACACAAATACGTCTGAGTATATTTCTCAATTATCCTTTTCATATATGTTTGTTTCAATTCATGCCCCAGTTGATCTATATAAATTTCATTGATATTAGGCACTTTTGGAAATTCTTTTCAAAATTGAAACAATAGTCCTGTTAACTATGGGTGTCGGATATATAGCTTTATAAACTTTAAACTCATTTGATATTAATATGCCTATAACAAAGTCTTTGTACAAAGTACTGTTATTGTCTCACAACAGGTGCAACAGATGATCTATGGTGGTCAATGAGAAGGGCAAAATATCTTTCAAATATCAAGGAAACGTTATCTGTTTGTTTTTCGTCTAATGTTACATTGGTTTGAGTGTGTGGTTTTTCTTTTGCAGAATACGAATATCATAAACAATATTATAGATAATAAGAAGTACAATTGATATTTCGAGACATAAATATAGCTAATACCCTTGAGAAATTGTTCTTAATATTATCTCTTGATGAAAACCGTATATCCAGTTTAATAATCATGCCTTGTTGTTTCTCATCTTGCTTATTTAAATTTCTATTCAGGTGTCAATCAAATTTACTTAAAAAGTAAACGCTTGCATTGTATATACACGTATATCGAATAGGAATAGGAGTGGAACTTACTTAACAAAAGGGATTACAATTAAATATCAGAAAACAAATAGTCGTGATGTGACATACATTTAACATAATTTTACAAACCGGATTGCTATTGCATGTCCATTAAAGAAAAAAAAAAGAAAACTAAAACATACGAAATTGCTATCGAAATTCAAAAAGGAACGGTGAGACACTAACTAACATACGGGATCGCTGATTTTTTTTCTGAGAGTGTATATAACAACTTGGGAACTAAATGACATTCCAAATTGGTAAAGAACTTTTTTGTAAGTAAAAATGACAATCTAGATATCAACATTTTATTTCAAAAGTAATGTAAATCAAATATCAGTCCTGAAACGTATTCTCGTTTACAAAGAAAGAAAACAATATTTATAATGATAACAAATTTGCCTGATTGTAACATTTTTTCGTGAAATTCAGGAGGAATGTTAAAAAGCTATAAAAAAAAGACGGGAAAAAAAGGAAAAGAAAACCAAACAACATTTTACAATAATACAACTAGAGAACTATTTCAAACAGCCCTTCGGCTAAATCATTAAATAAATTCTCATGTACAATGTATGTATAAAATCGGGACTTTCCTCTTGACAATACGCACAAATATAAAACAAAACAAAATCTTACACGCACAATTCTTCAACCTTGCCCTATATAATTATCTAAGTAAGCATTTTGCAATTTTTTTCCAGACAAACGCAATATTGCAATATCTTTGACACAAAGTTTTGTAATTTTGAATATCAGTTTTTTAGTCACATCGACACTGTTAAAGTCACGTGGTGACTTCCAAAATGCAACGAAAACGAACAACATTCTAACGTAGCAAAAATACTTAAGCATATAGAAAAAAGCATGTTCTTAAATCAATCCTTTTCATAGTTGCGTTTGAGTGTCAAAATACTTGGAAATGCTTCCAAGCGTTCTCTCTAAGAATTCAATGAATGACATCAGATGTTTTTGAAACGTTGAAAGACGATCTTCAAATCCATGTTAATTGAAACTGTTCTGCTCTAGCATATAATCACTTTCTGCTCTCACCATGATATAGTTCGTCAATGAGCACGGTATCTGATCCCATCATAATTTACAATATAAAACACAGATGCTCGCTGCAGCGGATAGGATTATCATGGCAACATAAATTTACTGTCAGTTCATATTCAATTACAAGAAGAAGTTCAAATTTAGAAAGATGGTTAACTTCAAGGAACTGGAATATTTTGTATACAAATGTCTTTATAGTTTCAAATATATAACATAAATGCTCACTGCAGTAATTAGATTTCTCGTGGCAACATAAATTTACAGTGATTTCATATTCAATTACAAGAAGAAGTTCAAATTTAGAAAGATGGTTAACTTCAAGGAACTGGAATATTTTGTATACAAATGTCTTTATAGTTTCAAATATATAACATAAATGCTCACTGCAGTAATTAGATTTCTCGTGGCAACATAAATTTACAGTGATTTCATATTCAATTACAAGAAGAAGTTCAAATTTAGAAAGATGGTTAACTTCAAGGAACTGGAATATTTTGTATACAAATGTCTTTATAGTTTCAAATATATAACATAAATGCTCACTGCAGTAATTAGATTTCTCGTGGCAACATAAATTTACAGTGATTTCATATTCAATTACAAGAAGAAGTTCAAATTTAGAAAGATGGTTAACTTCACTGAACTGGAATATTTTGTATACAAATGTCTTTATAGTTTCAAATATATAACATAAATGCTCACTGCAGTGATTAGATTTCTCGTGGCAACATAAATTTACAGTGATTTCATATTCAATTACAAGAAGAAGTTCAAATTTAGAAAGATGGTTAACTTCAAGGAACTGGAATATTTTGTATACAAATGTCTTTATAGTTTCAAATATATAACATAAATGCTCACTGCAGTAATTAGATTTCTCGTGGCAACATAAATTTACAGTGATTTCATATTCAATTACAAGAAGAAGTTCAAATTTAGAAAGATGGTTAACTTCAAGGAACTGGAATATTTTGTATACAAATGTCTTTATAGTTTCAAATATATAACATAAATGCTCACTGCAGTAATTAGATTTCTCGTGGCAACATAAATTTACTACGAGTTCATATTCAATTACAAGAAGAAGTTCAAATTTAGAAAGATGGTTAACTTTAAGGAACTGGAATATTTTGTATACAAATGTATCCATTAATGAAAATATATTTATGGTTTCAAATATGTAACACAAATGCTCACTTCAGTGATTACAATTCTCGTGGCAACATAAATTAACAGTGAGCTCATATTCAGTAACAAAAATGGTAATTTTCTATATACAAATGTATTCATTCATGAATATATCCATCCAGCATCATACAAACATGGTCTTAGATAAAATCTTTTTATACGTATAATTAATTACACAGATAGAATACAAATGTACTTTGATTTTGTTGTATTAAATACAGTCAACAATTGATGTAACAGCTTAAAATTTAATCCTGGAGTATGTCATTGTTCTGATTGTGTAGGATAGAAAGTTTATTGACGCATAGCTTCTTTTACGACACAATCTGTACACGGTTTATTTGTAAACATTTTGCACGAGAAATTATGCAATGCATCATGGGCCTCTGAAAAATTAATAAAAGCCAAACATGAATCATATACAGATATAAATATTGAAGTCCACGAAAAAACAACAACATTTCTCTTGAATACTTTTATAAGTTCCTTTAAGATAAAAAAATGTGTGCAAAAAATCGTGTACAATTTTTTGTTTTTGTCCTAAAAAGAATAATATATTTGAATATCATAATACAATATTTGTATTTAAAAGTTTTGCATACTTATTAAATTCATATATCTTATAACGCCATTACCTTTGCTTTTTTTTATTGTTTACAATAAAAAGAAGTAGAACTGATGTGTTTACCTTTCAATTTTTGTTGCATTGAAAACCTGATTTTTCGTTCTTGTTCAAGTTCATTGCACAACGCATCTGAAAGAATAAAAACATATCTAAATGTCAACAGAAATAAGTACTATTCCTGCTACTGAAATCATAAAAAAATGGTAATTTTATTAAGTTAATGCTAAAACATAACATATACAAAGAGATCACTAAAATAGCTGAATGAATCGGGATGATTTAAAATACTAGTATTAAATACTGATGATACATTACTTTTTTCAAATAGGAAATAACGGTAGTTTAAGTAGACATTTTTTAGATACGTGTGTGCATTATACATGTACCAATTGGAAATTCGAGCGTTTGTTCATATACAAAAAGGATCAGATTTCCTCATGGAAATTTTGTTTATTATGTATATATTTTTTAAACAATTTAATACAACTTTAGGCATAGTGATGAATGATGGTTTTGAAGATATTCCTTCGTACAAGAAATACAAGTTACAGCATTTAAACAAACTTAATATAAACTATTTGAATAGAAAAAGGATTGAAACAGACGAATATGTGAACTATATGAAAAGTGGACATCATTAAACGTTTTATGTGAAAATGACTGAAGTTGTTGATAATGTTGTTACTTAATACATTGCTTAAACCGGTGCTAGGTGGCGTGAGAGATACTGCGCAATAAATTGTCGCAATCAATACCAAAGTCATTGAAAACCATACATCTTTTTTATACATGTATATAATCGTGCATCTTTTCTATAAGGATATATTGCGTTGTAATATACATAATGTTTTGGGGTTGTTTCTTTTTTGTCTGTGCAGTTCATATAATGTTTAAGCGTTTCTTTTGAAATATATATAGACAAGCAACAAATGTTATTAACTAACCAACCTTTCATGGATTGTAATTGTTGTGTTATCTCGTCTCGCTGTGATTTCTCCTTGCTGACCTGGTCCTGTAGGCTTTTCTTTATTTTATTGATGTCATCCTCCACTTGTTTTCTTATATCCATTTCACTTTTCAGTTGTTTCTGAAGTTCTTCTGCAATGTAAATTGTCATTGTTAATCGCTTTGTTGATTTATTGTCGGTTTACAGAAACTATTCGTGACATTGATTTCATTTTTATTTGGCAGTACGGTTAGGTTAAGAAATACTCTTTCCTTATCTCAATGATTATTAAGGCATCGTTAGAAATGCATATAGTATCGGTTTTCAAATTACAAAATGATTGCATAATAACACACTTATTGATAAAAGGACAGTCATAGTAATATATATTTTATGAAAGAATAATTAAAAAAAAAATAGATATTTTTCAACAAAAATTTCGAAAAACAAAGAATTTTTAATTTTGTATTATTAAGAATCTTGTCTGACATGTAGATTTTTTTTCAAATGGTATTTCACATGGTATGAGCGCATCTTGGTTTTCGCTTACATGTGAATACAAATAATTTCTGGCATCTTGAAATTAATAATTGTGCAATGAAGAGAAATGAAAGGATATAAAAATATATTATTATTGTGAGAAAGAACTGAAAGATCACTTAAATATCAACACGAGATATAAGTTCTTATTATGAAACCATCATCCGGTCAATAAACAAATAAAAATGATAAATATTGCAGACAATTTCAAATGTAAAGGAAGTTCAACAATTGGAATACATGACAATATAACCTTTTTTATTCGTACATACAGAAAATATAATTATATTTATATATACCTTGTGTGGCGTCTATGTAGTAATAAGATATGTTCATCTTGTTACTATTTTATTTCAAATAAATTTGTTTTCTAACGTTTCGTGAACGTTTATTAGATTTGACAAGCCATATCAAATATTTACCCTATAAAACCGTTAAAAGTAAGATATTACGAATAAATTATATTGATAAACTTACATAAAATAGCATAGTCGATATGTTTTATTGAATGTATGGAGAGTTTCAGTGATACAAAACTAGTATGTGAACTGATAATGTTAACGGATATAAATAATGCTATTTTATACAATTTTATACAAAACATCACAAAACGAGGTTTATTTGTTTGGTTGTGTTTTATATCACATCGACAGGTCATAAGGAGACGTTCCAGCTTTATTGATGGAAAAAGACGTCAGGTGCCCTTCCGTGCAATATTTCAGACACGAACGGGCACCTGAGTAGAACCACCGACGTTCCGCACAAAACGAGGTAAACACATCACAATACCAAGTTACAACTTGAACACCATCCAACAGGGCAATGTTACAATATAAACACCTTACAGTACAACGGTTAGCTTACTGTACCTTTGCTCATGTTGTTGACATCTTCTAGACTCAGTTGAAAAGGTTTGTTGCAGTTTATATCGTCCTCTATCCGTTCTTCTAAAAGAAAAGAAGCACGTTAAAGACAGGTTAGTCTTTCAAGATTACTTTTGGCATTTTGCAATAGCAATGTATATTAAAAGATCCCTACACGCCTTGCAGATTATGAACGTCTAACCTCTTTGTCCATACACTTGAATAAAAACGCCAATGTTAAAAAAGCTAGTACAATAATAAAACATAACTGCACACAATATTATTTCTTTAGAAATTTCAACACCATGAATGACATCTAGGCAAGTTGGATTAAAGCCAGTTTCATTTAAAATTAAAATTTCATTTCGATCTTGCACGTAGCTGAAGTCAAGTAACAGATATGATTAAAGACCAATCAAATTATGACAGAGCCAAATCAATAATACATAATTTTGCGAGAAATAAGCGAGTTGTTTATGGTGATTTGCAGTGATGATTATTTTTTTTATCTTTTTTAATTTTCAGTTACTGAATTGTTTAATGATTCATAAAAGAAAAATCTATTACAGAAAAGTTTTTCTACAAAAGAAGAACGATATCTAAAATTCTTGCAGGTATAAGCAAAAACAATCGTTTCTTCTTAATAAGGATAATATAAAATGGCACGTAAAACCAAATTTTTAACGATTTTAAATTATTGAATTTCTAAACGTGAGTCATTGTTCTTAAGTAGATCCTAAGTCGTTTGTTAAACTTAAACTAAGATTATATAATGAATAAAGAAATGACCAATCCCATCAATCAATTTATTTTATCAATTAAGAAATTGCCTTTCAATTTAATTAAACATCAAAAACACGAGTTTATTTATAAAAATGGCAAATTACTTACCGTGCATTAATGGACTCTTTTTTAATTCTCCATCGACCTGAAAATGTGAATTTATAATTAAATTGATTTTAGAAATACTTAAATGAATATTCATTATAATTAATCATTTTCTGTCCATGAGGGGAAAAGCCTATCTTCTCAAAGGATTTACCGTGTTTGATGAATTACTAGCCACTTGTACAGACAAGAAATATTAAAGATCAGGTGTACTGACAAATGGAGTCATTGGATAAATTCAATTAAAAATTAACGCAACTATCTTACGCAAGGCTATGTTGCGAAATGAAAATAACCCCTGACTATGTATCAGATAAACAGTCCAAAGACGGAAACTTTAAATTGTTATGCATAAAAGTTCATAATGTATTTTTTTCTTTCTATTTTGCCTAATGTTTTTGTTTTAATTCAGTTAATTGTTAGAACAACAAACTTACTGAGAATATTTTATATACTGCTATTTATTGAGCTTATGTATTATTACTGAACGAATTGGAAGTAAATGTAAAAAGAAAACCTGCATTTATATAAATATTACATGTGGTGGTAACGTTTTGATAATAACAAGTTTGAGTGCTTCTTTCTTAATGTCAGATAAGGAATTTTTCACATCTTAAAATATTCCTTTTTTTAAAAGTGATTTGTGGGAGAAGCAAAAGCACGACCTTGTGATGGTCACCTTTTAAGTCCACAAGGACCTTTCCTCCGGGACGATGAATGATTAGTTTATTGGCAATTAGTAACCAAAATAAGCTACCACCATCAGTGAAGAAAGGAGTCACATTAGAGCTTATTTTATGGACCATGAACCACAGGTCTCTCAGATTACGTCGGCCAAAGTAATAAATAATTATGGCATGTTTTAAATCATTAATAAAAAATGTGGCTCTTAGTTCTCCTACGTAAACGCTTTTTTAAAACTATGAAACCCCTAACTAAATATCCTTTGATGACACCAAACTATCATAAAGTACTTAATATTTGAAGGAAAACACTTCTTAACTTGAAAAAAAAGACAATACCCTTACAGTTTCAGACGTATCAACTGACTGAAGCATGTAAACATAAATCTTCAAGTCACCGAATATTTCTTTTAAGAATTCTTTTGTTAATGGTTAAAAGCAAGTAAACAAAGGATTTGTCATTAAATATGCAAAAGCTCGTGGCACGAGCCAGGTAATCAGGGAAACTATATTTTCCTGTTTAAAATAACAAATAAGCGTAAATCCTTACTGAATATTACATGATCTTCAATTACCTGAAAGAAGGAATGATTTTAGTAACTACTTATGTTACTTGGTCACTAACAAACCGTGTCTGTCATATGTTCTGTATCGTAAATTAACATTTCACTCGAGCATTAGCGGGATTCATTAATATACATCAGATAAGATCGTATTATCGCTGGCTATCTTGAAATCTAGACACTTTAAGTGATATTTAAGAAATAGTTGTAATAGTCTTGTTCACAAAAGACTTAATCGTGTAGCTAAAATCAAATATTTATGTCCAAATGCGGTTGTGATTTACAGATTGTATATATTTTGCTACGAAAACTAAACAAAATTATTTTCCTGAGCGGTCTTCTTATCACATATACGTATTAATGAAGCAAACTTAATGTAGCAAATGTGTGGGACAAACGGTTAATCAATTACATTTGTTTTATGCAGTGCAAAGATGCTATCTCCCCAGTTATTGCAAATTGAAAAGTTAAAATCCCACGAGATTATATCAGTTGGTTTACTTTACAGCATATGAGCCGTGTCATGACAAAACCAACATAGTGCGTTTGCGACCAGCAGTCTGCAGATCAGGATCCATGCTGTTCGCTATCAGTTTCTCTACTTGTTATAGGGTTTGTAAGCGAACAGCATGGATCCTGATCAGACTGCGCGGATGCGCAGGCTGGTCTGGATCCATGCTGGTCGCAAACGCACTATGTTGGTTTTGTCGTGACGCGGCTCATATCATTAATAAACGAAATAAAGCTAAAGATGTACAAAAAGAAGTACTGTTTGTGTGTGATAATAAGTTTAATGAGTTTCCATAATCGTTTCAGAAAATGAAATTACTGAAATCACATTTATCATCATATACATAGCTACCTCCCTGATAAAGAGAAATTAACACATCGTAACGACGTAGATTGATATTTTTAATTTATTAATTCTGTCGATAGTGGTTTTGAAATTACGTTTTCAAAGAATATTTGTTCAAAATTCGACATTAATTCCAGTTTTATCACTAAGTTTTTTTTTTTTAAATAGTTTTATAATATATTCTAATTTTTAATAATATATTCTAATTTACAGTATAAATCCTTCAGATTAACGCTCACTTTCATTCAAAATTTAGATAGTGGAAAAATCAAACGTTTGTCAAATTAACAAAAGTAACGATTTTAAATAGTGTGAGGTACTAACTTTCCTCATATATGGCAAATAAATGTGAAAAAATATGAAACCATAGCCTTCACTTCCTCAGTAACATTGTCAAAAAAGTGTGATAAAATACTGAATTATGTCAGATCTAGCCTAAAACAAGTAAATCGTCATATGTATTTGATATATCTAGTTACTTATACATCTATAAAGCTTCATGGAGTTGTTTTTTTTTAGTTTCAGTGATTGAAAATTTATTCTACGATCTGCTTGGATATTCTTTATCATTTAAATTTATAGAGTAGTAAGTTATTTTATTCTGAAAAAAATATAGTATTCAATAGAAATGCAGTACTCACCTGCTGAACTTCTGCTACATCAGCTATTGTTGGTTCCGGTTCTATTTCCTCTGAAGTTTCAACAAGCATTGATACTCTTGATTCTTCATTTTTTGTAATATCAGTATTATCTGAAATACTTGTATCGTGTGTAAACAGTCTATTATCTTCCCTTTCTGTTTTATCGTTATCAGCGGAATCATCGAATTTACATTCATCATCTTCTATATCTATATCTGATTCATCTATATCAGAATTATTAATATTTTCATTGTTTTCTTTGATATCACCTTCAATATTTTCATCATGCAAGTCATCAAGTTCAAGTTTGTCATTTCGTGGAGATTTCCCTACAGGCCGAAAGGCAGAAGGCCTACACTGCTGATTATTAGAGTTCAAAGTTTCTGGAGCTGCACCAAATGTATGCGAACTGCTTTCATCATCTTCGGACGAAGAATGGGTATCAGATGGTGACTGTCGTAAGTTCATGGAGGTGGTTAAGTCTTTAACAGTTGAACTGTTGAAATAGTTTTTTCCAAATCCTGCTAAACTCGCTTGTCTAGATGCAAATTGATTCCCCCAAAATAAATCATATGGCGGTATTATGTAATCTGTTGGTTGTCTCCATGGATGAAACGGAATGTTTTGAGTTTGTTTTTCGTCATTTCGTATTTCTGCTTTGTTTATTTGATACTGCAATGCAAGTGGATTTGGTGTATTTAACGCACCGAATGGATACGTTTTACCTGGCATCGAGAAAAATGGATAACTTTGATACTGAGTACCGAACCCTGGTTTAGTTAAGATTCCTCCTTCATCTGTGGAGGTTTTTTGCCTTTTCTCTTCAGGAACAGATTGTGATTCCGTGTACCCATCTGAAGATAACATTCTTTTTCTGCTTCCACCATTAAACATGGCCTTTACATCTTCCCATGCATGATGTATGTCATCATTGTCACCTCCTTTCAGGAGGTTAAGATGGCGTCTCCATGAGTTAAAGTTTGCAGCATCAGGGTGGTTATATTTGGAGTCTGCAACCCGGTGAAAATGAAAAATGAATTTATTTGGTGAGAAATACAAATTGCAAAAATTGCATCTTATACATTTTGCTCGAGAACTGTTATACCTGGATGGTTCGAATTTACCTTTGCAACCCCAACCACATAAGTGGAAAACTTCGAAATAAAAATTGTCTGGTAGCTTTGGGGGCCTGTTGTCCTCTAGAAAAGATTTCACTAAACGTTCAGCTTCACGTTTAGTAATCATTCCGCATCTTCTGCTAGATATTGGCATTGCCCCTGCCCTTCTTAGTATTTCTAGTTGCACAGGTGTGCACTGAACACAGGTTATACCTAGAGCCACCCGTCGGTTGTGGATCTCATTGTAGCTAAACTGCTTCAGGAGTGTGTTAGAAATCTGTGCTAAACACAATCTTTCTTTTCCGTCTATATGTAGGGAAACAATTGGAACACCAGATAGAACAACCGTGGATACGTGGTTCTGACGATAAGTGAAGTTTGATGCCTGAGAATTGTCCGGCGTTTTCAGAATCGTGGACTTCTTCATTTCAGTTTTTGTTGCATCGCATTCACGAGAATTACTTGAGCACACATCTAGCTCCATTTTTCTTAAATATAGAAAAAAGTAAAAGAAAGATAAATCATTTGAAAAAAAAGTTCGTTTTACTCATTCGTATTAACAACAAAGATGTTTTGCCTTTATCGCCCGTACGAGCTGACATCCAAATAGTAATTTGTATTTAAGCATTAAACCTCGGTCATAATATTCTATAAGCTGACAATAAAATATAAGTTCTGGAGAAACAAACAAAATGAAATAAATAAATTAAAAAAAAAATACGCACGGCTGTCTTGTTTATCTTGTTAATTTTAATCAAACAGTATCGTATTTTAATTAATTTCATTCACTATGTGTATTTTTATTTAAACTTCTTCACATTGCTAGATAATGGTTCTTGCAACAGATTAAATCTGTAATATTTGTAAATAATGTCTTTTAAAAACACGCAGATAACGGGAAATAAATCTGAAGACAGCAAACAAGACTAATTAATATTTTCTACCATTCAATGAAATTCTTTGACATATGGCCAGAAAAAAATAATTTACTTCACTTTCTTTGACCTGTCTTTCTGTACTTAATCCGCATAAACGGAAACAATCGAACGCCGTCAAGAATTTAACTCGTGTCCATATGTTTATGGTATCCCGTGATTGTAATTAATAATCAAGATTTTAGACCATTGCACCCTGGTTACAGAAATTTATTGAAACGTGAAAGAGGTTCATGTTACTTCTTGGTGGTATCATATAGTCGGGTTTTGTCAGCGAAGCTACATCGAGAGCGTTTATGGACCACCATATGGCGGTAACAAGGCGATATCTTGTCTAAAGCAGACGATAATCACTGTGATGTATTTTGGATCCTAACGGCGCAATTAATTACCCGTATAAATACTAATACTGTGAAGGTGATCATTTCATATGAAAGATGATGTTTCATCTTTAATGCAATCGTCTTAAGTTAATCATGTTAATTATTGTATTTTATGTAAAAAAAAACAGTATGCGTGTACCGGCTCCCCTTTATTCAGTATTGAAATTACAAGTATCGTGTCATGATTAAGTAAATGATTAACATGAGCATTTCTAAATCTTTTATGTTCAGTATCAGTGTATATATATATATAATTATTTGTAATACTATTGGTCGACTTTGATTTAAAATACAAGAATGATGTACACATCAGACCATACTGCTGTTTGATAAGAAATAAATTTAATGATGATTTAAATACTTGGCACTTGAAATATTGTCAATGCCTACCTGTGTTTGATCTATGCCAAGAAGTTGGATACAAAGAAAACCTACATATGATGTTAAAAAATGACAAGAGATGTTTGCAACGACGAGTTCTCTGATAAACAGTATGATATAAATCATATAACATCGTTTTATCTACTAAATTTTCATTTCATTCATGATTTTCAGCTCATCATGTCGAATTAGTTGTGAGAACTCTTCCAAAAATCTTATTTAAAAAAATAATATAATTGCGCATTGATATATCGTCTATTGCGTGCAAAATTATACACAATATTAATAAGTTAATTTTCAATAAGTTTGTATTTACAGCAGACACCGACGTTCCTTAATTAATCAATTTGTTATCCATCGATATCCTAAAAGCAATATTTAATTATCATTAAATATTTATAAAATTCATTGTACATTGCCCATGTTTCTGTGACTTTAATATCAGGCTTGTCACATGTCAAACACAAATATTAATCTCCTGTCATTAATTACAAATTAAAGTATAACAAGTTCACCCAGCAACAATTTAACTTTGTACATTTTTAACTTATGCATAATTGTGTTCTATTTCTCTATAACTTCTGAGTTACCCTTTTACGAATGAGGAACTTAATATATACTTGTACATGTTTTTTATATTATAAAAACTTCAATAAATCTTTATGCAAGATGAACTTAATATTGAATTTTTAAGACACATCAATTTGTATATATATTATATTTTTTGAAGAGACATTTTGAGGAAAAACTACAAAAGCCCATATAATTTACATTCATTGTAATCAGATTTTAATTCTAACATTTCTTCTGCAAATCGTTGCATCATTTATTCGTCTTCCCAGGAAAAGAATGCAAATGTTTCTGCATGACTAATAATTATCTTTTACATTTTGTTGGTATATAATTATCATTACATATATATAGAATTATCAAGTCTTGAAAAATGATTGAATTAAAGCTATACCTAGTACGAAATATAAACAAAATTTTAACTTGCTATTTATCAATCGCTTTTTATATAATACCGTTATGTAGACTTCTGTTTTATATGCAAATGATATCTAGTTCTTAATATCAATTTCACTTCAGCATTAAAAATATTACAATACATATTGAGTCATAACATTTTCAAGTACATTGACATTGATATATCTAATATAACATACACGGAAACAATTAATATACTCATTTTAACCACCAGTTCTGTTTTTAGTATTATCCATGATATAAGAAAATGTATTTGATAAAAAAGCATCCAATTCGCAACAAAAAAGACTACAGTACAAACTTAATATAAAGATACATTTATTTAAACGGCATTATACATGCATTATTATTTTTATCATTACAAATTACAAATAATGGCAAATATTATATGTAATTCAAGACCATTAATAACAAAAAGTATATTTGTTTATATCGATATATTAGATATAATGATATCTTATACAAATGCATGATTGTATAAATATAATTATCAACTGATGAAGTTTTTTAAAGTGAAATATGTTTTGATAAATTGTTTTGGTTCCTGTTTAAATATAATGAATATTAAAGTATAAATATAGTAAATTAGTTAGTGAAAATACAAAACTATTGAATTAGTGAGTATAAATATAGTGAATTTATGAGTGTAAGTTCCATCCTCGGCGAAACATCCTTATGTTTGATAGACATAAATGAGCCGCGCCATGACAAAACCAACATAATGGGTTTGCGACCAGCATGCATCCGCGCAGTCTGATCAGGATCCATGCTGTTCGCTTACAAACCCTATAACAAGTAGACAACATGGATCCTGATCAGACTGCGCGGATGCGCAGGCTGGTCTGGATCCATGCTGGTCGCAAACCCATTATGTTGGTTTTGTCATAACGCAGCTCAAATATGTTTCTATGTTTGTTCTTAAAGAAATGCATATGAGGAAATAAATTATGCAAAAAAATATATATACATTGTTACATATTGTCAGTATAAATGAACCAGAATAAATAATTTTCAAACGTGTGTTAGTAATAATCAAGGAATAATAGATTTGTAAGAATTTTTATATACATGCATATTTCTTAAAATGGAAAAGTAGAATATAGGAAACAAATACATGTATACAAATATTATATTCTATTCTAGTTTATTTTATTTATTTATTTGTTGATGAAATTATTGAATATGTGTTTCTCCTCATAACTTAACCGGGTATTTTTTATTATAGTACGTTACAATATATTTATACATGTTCTGATTGATCTAAAAGTTCACGTTTTAATGTTGCTAAAACAGTCCGGAAATTTTAATTATTGTTTGTTATATAATATTTACGTGTAATCAATGTACCAATGTACATATATAACAATAACATAATAATGTACATGTATATATATACCATTACCACGCTAAAGGTCTTAAAACGAAATTGTCAGTCTTTCAATATGAACAAAATCGTTCATCATTTGAAGGAACATTTCTAAATAAGTACCAACTGGAAAGCGAGTAATGCAGACCATGATCAGACTGGATGGATACACCGGCTGATCTTGGTGTGCACTGGACACATTGGTAAAGTCAGTCGCCGCCAGCGCTACGTACAAAAACATTCATTTATTCTTTAATATTTCTAAAACAATACATCATATTGTTGAAGAAAAAAGTACTTGAGGGCGGCATTGTTACTCCAGAAAGATAATTATATGTGTACTATCTCTTTCACAAGTTGTATTTCTGAAACACAATATTTAATTCATATTCAATTTTAAATATATTTGTATATCAATTATGTTAATATGAATTTAAGATAACTGTATACAAATGCGAATGTTTAGTTTGTTTGTTGTATATGTATATGTTATACAAAGATTATCTACATATTACATGAAGTCACTTCCTGGAATATGTGAAAAAGATTGGTAGAGTGAAAAACAACACATATATCAACACCAACTCAAGAAAACGGAATGTATAATTATGTCGATTTTAAAGTATCGTTTCATAATATTAAAGATTGTTTTATCAAATCTTACTGCCTAAGTTTGCGTATCACATAAAATCAGTCAATTAAGAATTTATTTTTAGAAGATAACGGATAATGTGACATCATTTCATTATCTCTATGTATAAAAGTATTGCCTCAAAGGAAGATGTACCTAGCTTTACATTGACATTTAGTACAGTCTCATGACACGAAATAAAGATACAATTTCGGAGGAATCAAGACCGTATTTAGTGTGATTTAAAGTATTTTTGAAAGATTATCTGGAAAATAGTAATAAAACTACCTTTACATACCTTTCTAAACTATTCTTGCACAAAGGTACTTTCAACATACGAAGTTTATTGACAACAAATGTTTCTTTCTTTATTTATTATTTCCTAAAACTATTTTTTTTCCTAGTTAACGCATGTAACTAAAACGCACTATCATTTGATACAATTAGCAGTACTAATGTTAATTCCAAAGTTGATATTCATTGAACCCGTAATTGCCTATTTAAAATCGCATGCCAATCTGTTTTCCAAAACCAGTCTACGGGCTATTTATAAACTGGGAAACATAATTAATCAGCAGAAGGTCGGACCTCACCGCAACTAGCAGGTTGCATTATTTAAAATTATGTGTTCCACGCATTTAACGGTAAATTTCTATTGTCACCTACTATGAGTAAGGAAAATATTATGATTTTCAAGCGAAATGAAGCTATTAAATCGCCCCTGGGCGTGTTCGCACGCGCTGGTTGAACGCAGCATCACAAAAGAACCAACTTCATTGGCCAATAATTGAAATGACACGCTGTCAATCAGTTCGCCCATGCACAATAGATGATGATGTAGTCACGTGCTCTCCGGTCGATTAACTTAAACTGCGACTAGTTCTGAATGTATCGATCCCCAATGGTTTTCAACGTTTGTTAAACTATTTCTTTTTAACATTCGTCTCCTGTGATCAGAGCCATGAAATATATAATCGTAAAACAACAAAAAGATATGTTTAATTTATAGAGAGTGAATTAAGGTTTTATATCTTTAAATATTACTTTCTTTCTATGACCGTACTGTTTTGACCCTGTTTAACGGCATTTATGGACTTTTTGCCTTTCATTTTAAAAATAAAATAATATACTTTGTATATGTGGAATGTGGATTAAAAACGTCTTAATTAAAGAAAAGATTGAATTCAATAAAATGCCGAATCACACTTAAGATCAAAGACTTAATGCAGTATATTTATATTCATTTCCTACTATAATAAATATACTGTCAATTTTATTTTATACGGAAGCTTGATTGGAAAACGCCTTAATGAATTTTTGCAAACTTAATATTCACGTTAAACTGTAATAAAACTATTTTATTTTATAAACTCTAAGCATATACTCAAATAATTTAATACCAGTATTTACATTTTTTCCGGTAATAAAATCTAGTTCTTAAAGGACAGATACAGGTAACATATTGATAAACATTTCATTTGATCCAACCTTTTAGCTAGATATATTATACTTCTTCTGGTACCTGTTTTCTATCTATTCAAAATACAGGAAACTCGTCGGTCGCAAACTCAGGCGTAACACTTTCATTATTAACAAATTCCATCAAGACTATTACATTTAATATTCAATTATTTAAGTTATTACTCTACGAGATTGGCGTTAACCAGCGTTATTTAATTACTGATGCGATTCGAAGCCTCGAGGAAGGCACATCTATGATAATTGAATAAATAATACCAATCCAACGTGTGTCCTGATGCAGAATTAAACCGATTCTATCAATAAATATGTATTGACCTTAAGTAAACGAGTCAATTTAGCCATCATTTACTGAATAACAATGCTTTCCCCGGATGTTTAAATGATGTCCGAGTGGTAAGATCTTTCAACGGTAATTTACGTGCGTTGTCAATGTGCTAGGCAGTCAGTGTCCTTACCTTTACTCACATATAAAATAAAGCTACCTCTTTGTTATTGAACCTGGTCGTTAGACAAGGGGTTATTTTGAGGCTTCTCTTATCCCAAAGGAATTCTATCTTGGTTTAATCCGTTGCATAAATATCGTGTAGCTAAATTTTTGATAATTTTGATATTGGAAGTTTGCAAATTAATTTCTGTGATTTGACTACATAAATATCTCTTTAACTGATGCATAAATGTCAATTTCTTTTTCAAATGGTTTACTAAGTACTCATTTCTAATTGAAAATAAAAATGTTGGTAAATGTCAGAAATAATGTTCAGATTGATGAGATAAAAATATTTTATAAAGCATTCAAGGAAGGGCTATATTGTTGGTTAGATAATACATCAGCTGATTGTATTCATACCACATGAAAAAAAATATCCGGAAAAAAGATCTACTGGAAACATAATAATCAACAAAATTACATGAAAATTGCAGACTCGGTTTGACTGAGTCTGTCCATGCGGGATAATGAAAGCGTGCAAGATCCCTCACGCCCCCTGGCACCGGCTTAAGCGGTACTCAATCTTCAACTCTTAATATGCTGGAATCAATAATACCAAAAGATCAGAAAAATTTAACATCACTGAAGTGAAGTAGACATATTCTTGTAATAAAAATTACTTATTTTTTTTTATTTCAGTATTATGAAATAACATTACAGTTGCTAACATTTTACATGTGTAATATTTATCATGCATTTTGTAAATGATAATTATTCCTTTATCTGTTTACTTTATAAAGCTTGTAGTTTCTATTTCTTTTAAATATATCTTTCATTTTAATAGGACTTTGAATTATACATGCGTATAATATTATATGCTTTACTGTGTATATAATAATACACACACACTATGTATGATATATTACATATATTGGACATATATAAATATTTGACAGCACACTAAAGAAAGTAATCAGTAAAATACTACAAATCATTCCGAAAATGAAAATAATATTATGATCTTGTCTGTTTAGATATAATAGAGACCTTACCTTAATGGGAAAAATAAATTTAGAACCAATAAACAGATTTTTAAAAATCTTTTCAGCTGCTTTCTTATTTATACACGTAAAGCTGCATGCCTCCAGATCAGACAAAATATTTTTGAAATATCAACATTGAGAAAAATGAACTCAGATTTTAAGAAAATTAAAAAAAAGTTTCAAGATTCTAGCAATGATTTACATGTTATGTACGATAAAAGGCAGATTTTGCAATATTTGACACCAAATTTCTACAGCGTTACTAACAAAATAAGGGTCATTTTGGCCTTTTTGGGGGTATTTACGTGAATTGAAAATGGCGTTTGCATTGTCTTAATTAGTTTCTTTTCTCACTTCATAATAAATTACTTAAGGTAAAATCATCATATTTATGGACCATTTTGAGCCACAAAATAGCTTCACATGTATCACTTAATATAGTAATATTGAAGTTAACAAAATACATTTCCAAATTTTTTATAAAAGTCAGCATGAATCTCAGGCATGCTGTTATAATTTCTATACATAAATTTAATTGGATTATTTTTTAATATTCACATTATGCCATAGTTGCTCATCTTACACCATCATGATTTGATTGTACATACATATATTTTCAATTTTTCATTGAATCTGATATCATTTTAACGAATCTCCACAAAGCATTGTGACAATATTTTATAAAAAAAAATCTTGAAGCAACTTAATCTTGTAAAGGCAACAAAGATACACATGTTTTATTTAAATATTAACTGGCATACTTTTATACCCTGCCAGGACCATTTCCAATGAAAAAAAATTAGATAATGATAAAGTTATTCTTCCTAACCAATGCGTGACATTATTCTTTCCGTTTTGTATATGTTTAAGCTGGGATTTAGTCACAGGTTTAAGTTAAAATTTAAATACAAAACAAGTATAGACAATATAAATGTACTTCATAATGTTCAGTTTGGAAAAGTAAATTAATTTATTGTATATAGTGATTTATCATTTAATGCCACGACGACGTTGAAGAGATAGATGTCAATGATGAAATTTTTAATCAGAAAAAAGTTTTGAAAACAAAGCAGCAGGAATTATACGAACACATTATGTGTGCCATTAAATTAGATTTTGATCAAAAATTCAATCCAGTCAAAGTCACTTTTGCAGAGGCTTTAACGGTATTCAAAATTTACAATTTAAGGTATTAAAATCGATAGTCAGAATTTAATTTTTCAATATACAACATATCTCTATTAAACTGCATCCAATCTTAAACGCAGTCTAAAACGGTTACTGAGCTTTTTTTGCTATTATACGAATCAATTTCTAATATTAAGCTTCTTTCAAAGCGTCCATGAAATTATATTTTCCATTTAATCAACTATTTTTTAATGATGTATTAATACGCGAGAATTAATACATTTCTATAATCATTATCAAGAATACAAAACAAAGAAACAATCGTTTAGAATTATATGTAAATCCCAGAATGATATATTGGAACAAGTGTTGCTTGATTCATTAAAAGAAGTATAAAAACGGTAATTCAAAGACAAATATTCCAGTAATACAATCAATTCTTTGTAGGATTTTATCTGAATGTATGATTTCTTTCTTTCAACTTATAATCTTACAACTTCCATTTTTAAATGTCACCAATATTACGTTTGGTAATTGTTCCGCAGTTCGAACAAACAAGATCTATCTCGTATCAATCTAAAACAATCAGATTCGTTTTCCCGCTTGTTTTAAATTTTTCAAAAGGTTTTTAAAAACACAGGGGGGGGGGAAATTAAATTTGGGGTTAGGAACTCCCAAAATAGATAACTAGCCGGGAAAAGGAAACGTTTTCATTGTCACTGGGGGCCTTGCTAAAATTTAAAACGTGCTAACCACAATTTTTCCAAACGGCAGATCTTAAAACCGGATTTAACCGTATTAAATTTAACATGTCTTATTTAAAAACATTTTCCCCCAATCAATTTAATTTTTTATCGGAAGATTTAATTTTAAAAAAAACCCTTTTTAGCGGTTTTATTGAAAAGGGGGGGGGTTCCAAAAACGGTCTTTTTAAAATGAATTTTGGGTTTTTTGGAAACGATGTGGCATTTTCTTTAATCACCTTTTTTTAAGTTTTTTCAGTTATAAAAACGCCATAGTTTTAAACGAAACATTCGGTTTAATGGCGTTTAAAAAGAGGCCGGGCTCAAAAGGGGGAATTGGGTTTTTTCATTTAGCTATTGTTAAGGTTTTTTTTTTCTTAAAACCCTACTTGCCGGGATTTTTTTTTATTCCGGGGAAAGTCCGCATTAATGTAAATTTGGGTTTTTAAAAATGTTTAAAAGGACAATCCCCGACGATACTGGGGAAAATTTTGTTTTTTTTTACACTATAAATTAAACTTACAAGGTTTGGAATATTTTCGAGTTTTCTTGGGAAAATGTAAATAAAAACATAATTTAATAATTTATTCTATCACCACGGGATTGGATTGGGTAAATTAGTAACCAGTAGTTTTAGGGAGTTCCAAATTTTCGCTTTTTAAAAATATAAAATACTTTTTGCAATTTTTTTGTCAGCAAAGAAATAAATTTATTTATTTCTCGTACCTCCCGTAATTCTGTTTAGAAAGGGGTTAAAATTTTATTAAGTGAAACCGGTTTAAAATTTTTTTTTTTCAGCTTTTTAAGGGA